AAACAAGGGATGTTTTTAAGTAGTATGATTTCTTAATAAAATGTTCTTTGTCTTGTCCTGTGAGCACCACATTTTCATTTTGATCCCCTGTCCTTACTTAAACCATTGGTCTGTCCTAAAACTTCCATTCTTGACTCTCTTTCCTGCTTTTAAAGAAAAGACCGCCAGAGGGAGGTATTGATCTATGTTTCTTCTTCCTGAGCTCATTAGCCACCAAAAAGCACAGAGAACACCAAGATAACCCTCAGCTTGGTGAACACCCCAGCTAGACCTCTACCAACCTATCCCTGGGGCACAGACATCATCCTGTCACCGAGTTCCCAAATATCTGAAGACATGGCTCTTGTGAGTGTTGCTAACTAGGCAGAGTGGGAGAACCAGGTAAGAGCTGGTTGTCTTTCTAGGGAGCCATTTGTAGAGAAGAAGCAAGCACTGAATCTGTATTCCATCTTGCTGCAGATGAGAAAACTGTAATGACTTTAAAGTAGTCCCTTCTGGGGTCCCCCATCACAACCTACTTCTACACCAAGAACCTCCTCGAAACCTGGGATGCTATTTGTATTTCATGTGTAGAAAAGAGGACAAGCCCTCAGAACCCCCATCAAAGGCCAATGCAGAGGACAGATAAGGTATGAGCCTCTGATACTGTAACCACAGGTGGTGGGACATCAGCATCTCCCATTACCTAAAGTTCTTGCATCCCAAATGAGAACTTGATTTTACTATGTCTGTATGCCCACTGTGTAGTCCTGAAGCAGCACTTCGAAACAGTTGGATTTCTCTACTTTACCATGAAGAAAATGAGGCCCAGAACCATTAGTCTGCAATCTAAGGCGTCACAGTATCTTAGGAGTAAGAGGGAAACTCAAAGTCTAGTGACAAAGCCTGGCCTCTCTGTTCCGTATGTGTGCTGCATGTGACCCACTGTCAGCCCCCAGTGCACAGGTCAGGTCTCACCTCTTTGGCTTTCCATGCCTTTATGGTTATTCACCTGCCCTGTGTCTTTGTATCCTGTTCTAAGCAAGAAAAACAAATCCTCACTTCACAATGCGGTCCAGAGAATTAAGTGAACCATAGTTTGTGAAAATCCCTATTAGTGGGGTCCATCCTTTTGGTAGGTGAACTGATATCGGACCTCTAAAAGTGCATGATGGTGTACTTCTCAAAATCAAGGCCAACTGTGACTGCCCTGGTCAGCTAGCTTGGGTAGATATCTGTGAGTTCATCTTTTCTGTAGAGCATGAGACATTCCAGGCTTCTGGGCCAGTAATGACAGCAGTGGAATGCTAGGAACATACCCCAGACACAGTGGCAGACCATTCCTCTTTCCCTCCAGCGGCATTACACACAAATGGCCAAAGCAAACAGAAGAAGACATAATGATGGGCCTTTTGCCCAGAGCCTCCTCCCTTGTCATTGCCTGGCCTCTGGGACTAACCATTCATCATTCTCAATACCTGCCTCTTGACAGCTTCCAGGTTCTGGGCTTCACGTGTATCACATATCTTCTCCTTCACTATCCTGGACACAGATACTATTTGTGTCTCCACATTTTAGATAAACAAAATGAGATCTTGTAAGATTAGGATGCTTGACTAAGACCACAAAACTACCAAAGAAGCCAGGTCCAATCCCAAAGTCTGTGTTTGTGATGCTCTATTGTCTTGTCCCTGGCCTTAGAACATGTGAGCTTTGTCAGTCAAGGTGTCTCCCTGTACTGTATTAAATGAACTGCTGTCGGAGCCTTCCCTGGATGGTTCAGACCTACTCCTCAATCTTTCATTCATGTCTTTGTTTATTCCTATAATTAACCAGCATATGTTTCCTCAGATTTGAATTCCACTTCTGGAGATTTTCCAAAAGTCTAAACATCATCAACAAATGAGCCGTTTGGAGCCGTTTGAATCTTTCCTCAGAAGTCCCAGGTCTGGCCAGGCAGCTCCTGCTGTCCATCTCCAGTGTCTGAGCCAGGGATCGTGAGAATCTGAAATGGACTCCCCTGGTCTAAGGACTCACCCTGTGATGAAGCACAGAGACCAGGGTGCAACAGTTTTTACCCTCAGCCCTCCGGGTACCTGATAGGACCTCCAGGCTTTCTTGGATACCCTGGGAGAAAAACACAATCATGTATAACTAAGGAGATTCAGATGTGCCTGCCTCTATAACTGTCTCCCAGCCAGGAGACCCCTAAAAGGAGTCTGTTTGTCTGATAACATCTATGTGAACTGTGACAATGAACATGTCCTCTTAGTTCTTTCATTGTGATTCTTGTCCCTGTCTCTTGGCTGCCAAGAGCCACCAGTTAAAGTGCAAGCTGTAAGCTCTGGGAGAGCACAATTGTGTATATCAAGTCCATAGTGACTATAGCATTATATCCATTATTGCCTGTCTGTGCCACGTGAAATGATTTACTTCACAACCATGCTATGGGTGAAGTACTGGCCATTTCACCAGAGAAAATTGAAGATGAGAAAACCTAAGTAACTTGTTAAGGAACACGCCGAGAGAAGCTAGGATTGGCTGGCGGGTCCTCCAGAGCTCAGAACCTGTTTGCTTCTTTCTGGTGTGTGTGTGTGTGTGTGTGTGTGTGTGTGTGTGTGTGTGTGTGTGTAGACCTGAAGAAGCAATGGATTTCATAGAGCCAGAATTATAGGCAGTCATGAGTTGGCTAATGTGAGTACTGGGGATTGAACTTGGGTCCTCTGAAGACCAGCCAACCCTCTCAACTGCTGAGCCATGCCTCCAGCCCTGACCTTTTATGTTTCACTCCCAAACCAAAGCAATGACATGCTTGCTTTCTCTAACCACTTAAATTAGAAACTATATAAACCAGGAAAAATCTTCATCTAAAAAATTCATCTGTCTTCTATTTGTGAGTATATATATGACTACAAGTATAGTTTCATCTTTTTAAAAAAACATGATTTTGAAGCCCATTTTTCCAACTTTCATTAAGATACAGTCATCTTCCCATGTCACTAATATTCAACTGTTCTTCTGGCATCTATTTTTCATAACTGCATAAGACCACATCAGTTGGAAGAGGCACTGTTTAACTAGCCAAGCCCTCATTACTGGCCAGTTGGGTTAGCTGCAGTTTGTTATGATGATAGGCAACACCAAGGAGGAGATCCAGCACCACCTCTTTGCTGTCTTGTTCTGGAAGATGAACCCTGAGAAGTGGATTTGCAAGGTTAATGGCATAGCGATGTGTGCAAGCTGTTGGGCTCCCAGGGGGTGTATTTAAAAAATTCAGGGCTCCACCCTCAGCAAGCAGAGTTCTATTTGGGAGACTAAACAAAAATGTGTTGTCTGTTGATTCTACGTTCTGAACAAACCACGCCAAGCTTACTTACTTTGAACCTCAGGGAACCTTTAGACACTGTTAGTGAGGTCTTTTCCCTGTCCATATTGGGGACATGTAGCTCATTGGAATCTAGAGAAACCCCTCCCTCACAATTACCTGGACTTCCTCACTAGGCACCCAAACACTGCAAATGGAAGCAATCCCGTGGCACTCATGTTTGTCATGTGACCAGGCACAACTGTCCAGGAGGGAGAGCAGAATGAGAGGTCCTAGGCAGACAACCTCTCTTGGTGGAAACATCTTCAGCCTCAAAGAAACATGGTATCTTGGGAAAGCGAGAAGTGGACTCAGGAGAAGAGGTGTCAGGGGGTTTTCTTACAGACACTTTGTATCATTCTTCACCAGCTCCATCAGAGAGGTGGCTCGGTCTATACCAGCACTCACCAGGAAAGAGCATCCTGGAGGGAGACCTCCAGGAACTCTCCCATGCTCAGAGCCTAGTGAATGTGAAGCAGGGAGAGGCTGGGATAAGCCACTTTAAGTTGGGATCTACAGTGGAGTCCCAAGGGAAAACTGGCCCTGGCTAAGCGGCAAAGGGAAGCCAGGCCTGCGTGTAAGTGCTGTCTCTGAAGCTGAAAGACAGGAGAAAGACGTGGACAGCCGCAGGCCCTTGCATTACCCAGCTCCCTCAGTCCAGGGGTCTCTGCACAACAACTTCCACAGATGGTGGATCAATGGAGGATATGGGAAGACTGCTGTGCCTTGAAGCTAGAAAGAAACTTAAATCATGAATGCTCATTCTCATTTCTACCTAAAACGCAATTCTCATCCTCTCTCTTTTGATGTTCTTTTTAAGACCCCTTGCTGCTCATCTTGGTGGGTCTCCAGGCCAGGTCCACAACAGCCTTCACACTGTCTTCTTCCTGCCTCCAGTGTGTGTGTGTGTGTGTGTGTGTGTGTGTGTGTGTGTGTGTGTGTGTTATATTTAAGAGAAAGAGAGAGAGAGAGAGAGAGAGAGAGAGAGAGAGAGAGAATATGTTAGGAGCAGGAGCGGACCACCTGAGTCCTCTCCAGAGGCCAAGCTGCTCTCTGACTCTACAGGGGCTGTAGGGTCTCCTGGCAACTCTAGAAAATGCATCTACCCTTCCAAAGATCAAAGCATGAGCTGTTGATATACAGGGCAGGTGGGGTGGGTGGGGTGGGATGTGTGAGGTGGGTGAGTGGGGGTATTCATCAGAGAAAGAGGGTCAGGGTGGAAGGAGAAATGAGGATCAGGAGCAAGAAACAAGAATGAGAGACAGAATGAACCAAGTAAAGAGAAGACAAAGAAAATGTGAGAAACAAAGGAAGCAATACAGGATAAGCTGTGGGGAAGATGGGAAGGAGGGAGGAAGAGAAGGACCATGAGGAGTGAAGGAAAATGCAAGAGAAAGAGAAAGGTACGCCAGGATGGTGGGAAAGGAAATGGGAAGGAAACGAGAAGGAACGAAGGGAGCTCTTGTCACTTCGGGTACCGGTTCCAATAAGTCTCCTTTAGCATATCATTAATGGGAACCAAGGCCACAGCCAGCTCAGGTAAGAGGGAGGCGGGCCCTGGCCCGGACCTGCTGGCAGGTGGCCGCCCCTGGGTGGGGCCACCCAGCCAAGCCCTCGGGGTATAAGTCACAGGAGGCCAGGGCCTGCTGAACACCTGTCAGGGGCAGCTCCAGAGAGCACAGGTGCAGCCGGTGGCTACCCGAACCCAGCTCCAGCATGAGCTCCTTCGATCTCCCGGCGCCCTCGCCACCTCGATGCAGCCCCCAGTTCCCCAGCATCGGCCAGGAGCCCCCCGAGATGAACCTTTACTATGAGAACTTCTTCCACCCTCAGGGCATGCCCAGTCCTCAGCGCCCCACATCCTTCGAAGGTGGTGGCGAGTACGGGGCCACCCCCAACCCTTACCTCTGGCTCAATGGGCCAGCCATGACCCCACCACCCTATCTGCCTGGTACTAACGCCAGCCCCTTCCTACCCCAGGCCTATGGCATGCAGAGGCAGCTACTGCCCAGCGACCTGGGCTGGCTACCCATCCCCTCTCAGGAGGAGCTCATGAAGCTGGTCCGTCCACCATATTCCTACTCAGCCCTCATTGCCATGGCAATCCACGGTGCGCCCGACCAGCGCCTCACACTGAGCCAGATCTACCAGTATGTGGCCGACAACTTCCCCTTTTACAACAAGAGCAAGGCTGGCTGGCAGAACTCCATTCGCCACAACCTGTCACTCAACGACTGCTTCAAGAAGGTGCCCCGAGATGAGGACGACCCAGGTAAGGTAGACAGAAGTGCGTACGGAACAGAAGGGACCTCTGAGGGCTCTTTCATTTCTGCTCCGAACTCCATTCTAGAAAGCTCTGACTGCAGCTGCTACTCTATCCACAAAACTGGGAGCCGCTAGGAGACAGGGCTGAAAGAAAAGGAACCCACAGTAGAGGAGAATCTGAACCCTGGGAACAGAGACAGACTTTCGTGTCTCAGGGAGTTTGCATTTGCTGTGCCTCAGTTTCCTCCTCTGAAAAATAACAGGGAGGGAAAGAATGTCTATTCTATAATTAAGTAATTTCTGCAGTCTTTGGTGTGAACAAAGCTCAGTATCCTGCAGTCGTGATTCACATGTACCTCACATGAGGAGTCACATGAGAAGTCCTTGGTAGGACAAGACTAAGTCAAACCAGAGTGTGTCGGAGTCACACCTGTAGCGGAGAGGACCTGGCCTTGGTTGGACACCATTGATGGCCCCATGACATGGCTCTGGCCTTCCATCCATTCAGAACCTCCTTTGATGCTGGCAGCTCCCTGCAGGGTGTGTCTTAGTTAACCCATTGCACAGATGAGAAAAATAGCATTCAGGGGTAAAGCAGAAGTGGCATAGACCAGAATGGCAGTGATAGTGTTCAACTTAAATGCAACCCTTACACTAGGACTGGAATATTCCTTTCAAGTGGTAAGCCACAGACACTTGCAGAGAGGAAATGTGAGGCATTCCAGCATCCAGTGTCCAAACCCGAAGAACAGTTTTGTTCTCACATGGGAAGCCAGGGTTGGAGCCCTTCCTCTGCCCATTTTGAAGTCAGCTCTGGTCAGATCTGTTTGGCCCTCAGAAGGGAGAGTGCCCTGTAAAAGTCTTCTCCCCCTTTCCAGCTCAGAGTAGCAGGGAAGAGTTGGAACTTCCTTCCATTCTGGTGGCACCTCAGATGTACGGCTCTTGGGCACATATAGTGTCTGTCTTACATTTCCTCAGTGAGCCTGGGGAAGCAAGGGTTTTTTTTTTTTTCAGACCAGGAAACAGATTTATCCAAAGTCCTTAGTCACTGAGGAGCAAAGCCAGAGCTCATCCATCTACAGGACTTGGGGAACTGTTTTCTGGGGTTTCCTAGACCTTAGTAATAGAAGCACTGACCAATACCCCATCCCATCCTGGTCCCTGCACCCCAGAACTCTATACTTAAAGGTAACAATCCTTTAAACTCCTTCAGGCCTTATACTTCATTTCCATGAACTCCCCAGAGCTTCGTGTGTGTGTGTGTGTGTGTGTGTGTGTGTTTGTGTGTGTGTGTTTGTGTGTGTGTGTGTGTATGTGTGCATGTGTGTGTATAGGGGGTACTTAGAGAGAGATGGGGGATGGGCTGATGTTTGTGGGATGTCTCCACTTCCGTCCCAGGCTTTGTTCTTTTCTTTGCATTGCTGCCCATGGTTTTCATTTACTGTGTTGCAGCCAGATGGACTGAAGCCTTGTGTCCATCTCTGTATTCCTAACTTCTCCCACTTCTGTCCCAGGCAAGGGGAATTACTGGACTCTGGACCCCAACTGTGAGAAGATGTTTGACAACGGAAACTTCCGCAGGAAGAGGAAGAGAAAATCAGATGCATCCTCCAGCACCGGCTCCTTGGCTTCAGAGAAAACGGAGAACAGTCTCCTGGCCAGCAGCCCCAAGCCCACAGAGCCTCAGGAGGTCTTAGACACTGCCTCACCGGACACTACCACCAGCTCCCCAGAGAAGCGGTCTTCCCCTGCCCCCTCGGGCACCCCATGTCTCAACAACTTCCTTTCTACTATGACAGCCTATGTGAGTGGGACAAATCCCATTAGCCGCTCAGTAGCCACGCCTGGACTGAGCCCGGAGCCTATTGACAAGATGACGCAGAACTCACTGAATTTCAACTCCTACACCCCCCTTACCAACCTCAGTAGCCATGGGAATGGGGGTGAATGGGCCAACCCAGTACCCACCAATGCTCTGGGCTATGGAGGCTCTGTCTTCAACCAGTTCAGTCCACATTTCTACAATAGCATTAACACCAACAGTGTCCTCTTCCCCAGGGAAGGCACTGAAGTCTAGAGATAGAACAGCTTCTCGTCCACAGAGTTGTCTGGGGGAAAAGCAATGGTGGTCCTTCAGACCAGATCCTTTACTACCCCAAGATCTGAAACATTTGAACTTCCCAGATAGCACCACAGGAAGCTTGGAAGAATCTGTGTTCTTTCCAAACACCGTTTAAGCCTTCTGGCTCTCTATCACATGTGAACCTACACAGATTTGATAGCTACAGTGGGCGAGCCAGGATCGACTTGCCATTAATAATGTGGCCATTTGTTGAGTACTTAACTATGTGCTGGTTCCTGTCTTGGGCTTTTTAGTGACATGGTCACACTATGTACCCTCCTCCTTTGAGGTTCATATGAACCTCTCCAGTTGACAGATCATAAAACAAAGGCCCAGGAAAGTTGTCAGCTTTTCCAGGGTCATGAAAATGACAGAGAAAGACCTTGAAACAGGCTGGGTGACCCCCGTAGTCTGGTAAAAGGGAGCAGGGATGGACAAACTGGATGTGTGTCGCATAAAAAGCTGGTTATGGCAAATACGTGCACACGTCCCACTGGCTTCTAGTGACCTCCTCAGAATTCAGCACTAATTTGGCCATGACATGTTCCCACCTGTCCTTTTCCTTCTTGCCCCAGCTTTACCTACAGACATTCCTTTACCTACCACTCAGTGGGGGAAGCTAACAGCAGGATGCCCAGCCCAAGTACCCCTGTAGGACACAGTACCTCTAGTAGGTGCAATCCAGGGTATCACTTCACTAACCTTCCACACAATTTGAGCAGAGCCAGAGGTCAGTGAGAAAAGTGGTATGTACCCCTGAACCCCTACCCCAGCACTGCCCACCCACAAAATCTCGTAAACACCAGCTTCCTGTGTGTATGTGTCATGGACCAGTGAGTAAGATGTGACTCAGGCTTCCAAGAGAAGCGAGGGCAAGTAAGCAGAATAAGCATGTCCTTATTTTTATAGCCCTGGAGAGGTGGATACTTGTCTGAGAGAACAATGGCCGGGTGGGAGGGATCCTTTGCCTGCCCTCTGAGGGCAGAGCGGCTGTGAGCCCAGCTTCTGGCACTGCTCTTTCCTCCTTTTGTGAGTTACCTTATATGGCTGTGAGGTCTTCTCGAAGCACACCCTGAGAAGTGTTGTTCGGTTTCCTTATTTTCTTTTTAATTAAAAAAGAAAAGAAAAGAAAGAAAGAAAGAAAGAAAGAAAGCTGTTTAGAAGTGTGTGGCCCTTCCTTGCGAGTTGTCCTTGTGTCTTGGTGGCCTGGTTGAAGCTTAAGGCTGAAGGTGCTTGGGACAGGAAGCAGAGAAGAATGGGTATCAAGACTGTCCCCTGCCTACACCATTGAGGAGCTAGACAAAGGCCCCCCAGTGTAAAGTCAAGGCTATGAAATATGGGGTAGTTACGTACACGGAAGGAACCTACCTGTGTCGCATGCAATATGGGCACAGCATATCCAAGGTTCACAGCTTATGCAAACCCCATGATTGTGGTGTGAACATACAACTCCCCTGTGAAGGGCTGCCACTAATCCAGTTAGACAATGAGAAAACAGGGTCAGAAAGGTGTCGTGGCATGCCTGAAGCACGCTTGGGCTCTCTGAGTTTCATACTCGGCACACTATGGTATAGCCTCAGCCATGGCCAATGCTATTAGCAGCAGGTCTGTTTGCACTAGTGACACCCTGGAGTTGGTCACACTGTGCATACTGACATGTGTGTGCATTTAAGCAGGAGGTCTTCTACTTGGGGGTTTCTTTTCTGGTGGAGAAGGGAGAGGGGTCAAGCTGAGGGGCAGCTGGGTGAACTCTTTCTCTGAAGTGACAGAAGGGAGATGGTGACCCACAATACTACTACAGTGAGAAGCCCATCTACCCCAGGTTTCCTGGATGCCAGGCTCTGTCATTTGGATTTGACAAACTTTCTGTGTTTTACCTATATAATCGTCCCTTGATTTCCACATTATGGGTGAGAACACCGAGTCCATGAGACATTCTGCTTCTGTGTGGGCCACAGATCCCATGGCTGTGTGAAAGCATTGATAGAAGCTCCCTTTCACAGCTATTAACAGAGAGGTCAATATTTGGTGCAAGAGAGTACAGTCATGGAAATCAGAAGTGATGGAAGGCCCATGCTTCTGTAGCGAGTCTCGTGTGTAGTAGTGGCTGGTGTGGGTTGGGGAGCATGTGAGACAAGGAAAGTCAGAGTAGTCTACCCACTGTTGCCTGCTGCAGGGAGGTCAAGGGACTCCATGTCCATGGCAATCAGAGCCAGAGTTAAAATATAGATCTCTGAAACCTAGACGGGAATTTTTGGCATGTCACATGTCACTCTCAGCAAATTTGCCCAGATCCCAGAGCCCCACCTCACTGCCTGTTCTTCATCCTCAACTTCTTTCCCAGACAGGGGTATAATGAGTAAGGGGACTGGGCAAGTCCAGGAATGAGAAGGGGCCCAAAATGAGTCAAGCCATCCCAGAAGAAAGCCAGCAATTTAAAACCAAAGGCCACAACTCGATTCTCCATCAGAATTTTATGGGTGGCAGCAGTGGAGAGGAAGTCTGAGGGTTCCTACCATATGGAGTCCTTTCCCGCTCTTGCCTTAAGTCTGTGTTGGGGGAGCTCTGAGAAGTAGCTGGGATGTCACAGGAAAAGGAGTTGTGTTGGAAGCATTAGAAGGAGGGAAGCCGAGAAGATCTTATTGTTCAGCCTTAGCAGATGCTGAAATCTGGAAGGAGGGAAGATAGCACAAGGGATGGAAGAAGGGAAGGTGTGTATGAAAGTACTTGACTCCTCAGCCTCCTATGCTTTGGCTCTGCACTGAAAACATAGCTTGCCATCAATAAGAATCTAAAATGGAGGCTTTCCTATTATTGGAGAGACCAGGAAGTCTGCATACAGGCGTGAGACACACCAGTGACTTATAAATTCACCCTTATACCACTTACCTGCAGCCTCTCCACAAACCCTAAATTAAAGGGGCTGCATTTTCAACATGGAAGTTTGGGGGAACAATGCCTCAAAGCAGACTACATACCATAGATCAAACAGCATGTTATAAACATATACAATAATCTCACTTATTTTAATGGGTATATTTGCAAGGGGGCAAAAGTCACAAATGCTACCCATAAAATATTAAGTTATCCCAGTCACTTTCTGGTGGGTGGTGAAATATAAGGTTGATAAAGTTGATTCCCCTCCCCCCACCAGCCCCAGGTCATAAAGCATATCTTCATGTTTAGTGATTAGACAATCAGTTCAGCTCACCATTGCTAGAACACCCTCCAGCGAAAGAGCCCAAGGGACTTGCTATGTTTATTCATGGCTCCAGCCTATGCAATGGTTGGCTGGCCTCTACACTAGGCCCATTTCCAATGACAGGAGAGGAATGGGTTTCCTTAGCTCAGACTCAGCCTTTGTGCAGACACATTAGGGCTACATTATAATCAAAAGGAATCAATATGAGGTCAGCAGATCATATAATACATGTCTCTCCACAAATCTTGCTTGCTGTAAAGTCAAGGCCAAGCAGATGGAAGTTTGGTGCAGTCTTCAAACTCGGTGAAGCTAGCATTGGCATCCCTGGCAGAAGGGATAGATCTGGATGCAAGACTGGAGAAGCTGCGGTGAGGCATAAGGAGAGAGAAACTGGTTGACGGAGGAATCAGCAACGTGCATGGGAGTCTGAGCTGTGCAAAAGGCACTGGGACCATGCTGGCTTGTGGCTAGCACATTCAGCTACAGTATCCATGGACAGCTGGTGCTGTTACTGTCTCCATGTGGCCGTGAACACACGGTGACAAAAAATCGTTTAGAAAGTCCATCAGCATCTCAGTGTTCTATATAATCTAGACCTAGGGCTTGCATGCTTTCTTGGAAATAGGCATTGGGGGCGCAACGAGAACAATCCCGAAGGAAGTTTCTCACTAAGGAGACATGGCAACAGCATCTGGATCAGGAAGGATATGTTGGCCAAAATACCACTGGAGGTCTAAGCCTTATCCTCATGTGGGGCCTAGCTCAGACCCTTGCCCTACACAGATTTTATTCCCTCCTCTTTCCTTCTCTTTCTCCCTGGAAGGAGAGAACCTTGGCATGGCACCTGTCACAAAAGTGATTCAAGTGTGTACCTTTCTAGTCCAGGCAGATGCCACAGCAGAGGTACCGGTATCAGTCATCAGTTCCTGTGAACTGAGTGCTTCCTAGAGACTAGTTAACAACCACAGTCACCCATGAGTCTGGAAAATCATTGTTTCCATTGGGTTCAGAGGTAAACTAGGTCCCACAGAAGTGAATTCCAAGTTCGCATAGCTGCTATGCAGAAAAGGCAGACCTCAAAGAGAGGTGAGCCCAACTCAGTGTCCACGTTCTTCCCCAAAATACCAGGGCAGCACCCTGGGGCAGAGGACAGGGAGAATGTGTACTCGGCAGGAGCAGAGCCACTCTTTTCTTAACAACTCAATAGACAGTGTCTTCCTCATGTTCCCTGACACAGTCATATGTAGAGCAATGGCCTAAGAAAGCTTTCATTCCAGCTCAGGGGACCACCACTTCTACATCTTCCTGATCAGTGGGAGCAGCCCTGCCTCCACTCTCTCCTTTCCTGCTCCTTGACTCTCAGAGGCCCAAGAGGACCATTTCTTTGCACTCCTTAGGTCTTATGATGGCCAGTTTTGATGGTCAACTTCGATTAAGAAATTCCAATGAGATTAAGTATCGCACACCTCTCTGCCATGCCTACAAGGGGTGTTCTAGAGACAATCAGGTCCTGAGGGCTCTGACCTCCTGAATTTGTTGATTCTTTGGTGGATTCCTAATCTGATGGGATTATTGGGAGATGATAGAGTAGGAAGCTGTGCCTTTGGAGAAAGTAGGTGACTAAGGGTATGTCTCTGAGAATATATCTTGCCCTGGCTTCTTCTTAGCTGTGCCTTTTCTCTTTCTCCTGCCTGCCAGGATTCGAGATGCTCCTTTTAAGCATCCTCCCAGCAGCCATCATTGACTGACGCTCTGAAACCAAAGTAAATCCTCCATCCCTTTGGTTGCTTCCATCAGCTATTTGTTCACAGTGGTGAGAAATGTAACGGACACAGAACCTTTTTGGCTCCAGCTCCTTTAGGTCCTTGCTTGTCTGCAGGGAGGTCAAAGCTCCAGCTCCATCCTTGCTCCAGGATTCAGATGTAACCCGAGTCAAACCGCTGCCTGTCTTGGAGAATCAATGTAAGCAGGCATCTACTTGAAAAGACGATTTTAAATATTTGCCCAAGAATGCTATATTTTGAGTGTAAATGTGAAATATTTAAAATGGGATAGTTGGGGAATACGTGCTCAGATGTTAATATCAAAATGTAGGTGAATAGTTATGGAAATGGAGACTGGGAGAAGCCAGTCCTCTTTAAAGATCCCAACAAGGCCAGGCAGTGGTGACCTGTGCCTTTAAGCTCAGCACTTGGGAGGCAGAGGCAGGCAGATCTCAGTTTGACTGCATGTTTGTGTGAGAGCTATGGACCTGAAAAGGCTGTGAGAGGGCTGCTGGAATACTGATAATATCTTATTTCATCTGAGAGTAACACCACTGGTTTGCTCACGGTAGGAGAACCACTGAAAGTTGGAATCCCATTTACAATTGCTATGTGTTTATGGGTGTACACTGAACTCAATTGTGTGATCGAGTGGGGGAAGATGTCTCACTAGTTCTCTGCAGAGGAAAAGAGAGACTGATCTCAAGCTTCCCACATGCTGTCTCTGAAGACAGAGCTGGGAAGAGATTCACAGTAGCACATTAAATGTGATCTCTCCTGTGCGGATAGGACAGATGCAGATAGCATCCAGAACATCACTAATTGAAAAATTGCAGTGAAATTACTGAGGGGTGATTGAGGTTTGAAAATTATTATTTATGTTTGTAGAAGTTTACTCTTCTGTTTTTAATTTAAAATTTTTTAAAAAAATAATGGGTATATTTAACCTAGAATAACTCCCACAAACTTAGAAATCAGCAATTAGGACCCAGCTTGTGTTTCCTCTAATTTAGTGACATAAATTAAGTTTGGCTCTGTCCCCAAACTTCCCCCTCAGGGAAGAAAAACAAACCCCACTACTGGAGTCAGTCTCCTACTGTTGCCAAATCAGGCTCTCCTTTCTTTCTCCTCAATCCCCTCTCTTGTTTTCTGGGCGTTCATTTCTCAT